TCTAGTTGAACCGTTCTTCAGAATTCAGGAGCGGCATTCATTTTAACCTTTTAAGCAGAGTTTTAGTGGCAAAGGAGAAAAACAAAAGTGTAACGAGCTTCCATCGTCTTTCTTCAATAATTATCAACCTGTTTCCATCCTTATTTTGTCCTCCCTCTTTCGATTTTATTACCGTAAAGCGAATCACCAGGTGTGTGATGGCCCTCGCCTGTACTCCCAGAGTTTTGCAGGAACAGACAGGGTATCAGGAGTTCACGGTCATCCTCGCCTACACAGGGACTTTGAGACCAGCCTGGGCTACTTGAGACCCCGTTTCATCACCGCTGTCAAAGCACATGATCGTATATGGTTTTAGCCTTAAATACTTAAGTATATTCTTAGCAGACACTCCCAGATACATTTACTCCGAAACTTCAGTATCATCTAATATTCACTCCACACTCTACTTTCCACATCTAAACAATGCCCGCTACAGTTGATTTCAGATACAGCTAAGGTGCAAATGAGTCCACACACCTGAACTGCATACTATAGTCAGTGTCCTTTTTTTTTTTTTTTTTTTTTTTTTTTTTTTTTTTTTTTTTGAAACAAAGTCTCACTATGTAGCCCAGGCTGGTCTCTAACTCCTGGGCGACCTTCCTGCCTCAGTCTCTCAAATACTGGGATTAGAAGAATGGGCGGGCTCCTCCTGCGCCTGGCAGCCTTTAGTCTGTGTTTGTTTTTTCCTCCTAAGATCCCTCTTTCTTTTCTTCTCATTTAATAATCCTTTTGGCCCGGCGTAGTGGCCGGTGCACTCGGGAGGCAGAGGCAAGCTAATCGCTTTGTAAATTCGAAGCCAGTATGTTCCACCATAGCAAGTTACAGGACAGCCAGGGATATACAAGAGAGACTCTTGCTCTAAAGAGTAGGTATCCCGAATCTTGTGATCCTCCTGCCTCAGCGTCAGGAGCTCGGGAATTACCGGCCTGTGTCACTGAGCTGCCAATCATTTCTTTCATTCATTTACTTATTTGAGACAGGGTCTTTCTACCTAGCCCCGACCTACTTATGTATGTCATGGAACTCATTACGTAGACCAAGCTGACCTGGAGCTATGATGAACTCACAGAGATCCGCCTGCCTCTGCCTCCGGAGTGCTAAGATTAACAGTCTGCATCACCACACCAGGCTGCCATTCGTTTCTTAATATTAATTTACTGCGTCCTGCCCTTTCCAAGTCTTTGCCAAACCGAGTGGAACAGGAAGCACACTCGCTTTTGCGCCTCCAGCTCCTGACTGAGCTACCCACAGGCCCGCCCCTTTCTACTCTGAGCCAATCCGAGAAGTACAGGAAGCGCTCCAACTTCTTTCCCAGCGTTTCGAGCTGGGCTTCTTTCTGGTCCCGCCCCTTCCTCATCTCAGCCAATCAGAGAGGAACTTTGAGCTTCCGCTCGCTCCGTCTTCTCCTGGGCCCGCCTCGGTCCTCTGTGGCCAATGCGGGCGGGCCTGCGGACGGCATGGCTACCTTAGTTCTGTGAACCCTTTCTGCTCGCAGGCCCGCGCTTTCTGCGTTTGCTGGCGGCCTGTGGGGCTTGGGCTCCGCGGTGGCGGGGGGAGGCCGGGCTGGCCAGGGTCTCGGGCGGGCAGGAAGAAACCGCTTCCCTCCTCACGCAGGGGGCGTAGGTTGTTGCGCTCGATATTTTACTTTTTGTTTTTAATTTATTTTTCTCTTTGTCGTTTCATTATATATATTTTTTCTTCAGAAAGAGTCTTGTCTTGTATCCCAGGTTGAGCTAGAACTTACTGTGTAGCTCAGGAGACTGGGACTCACCATGTAGCCTAGGTCTGACACTCATTTGTGTAGCCACTGGCTTGGCACTCAGAATGTAGTTGAGGCTGACTTGGAACTTACTTCCCAT